AGACTTTAGGTGACGACTTTCGGCGGTGACAAAAAAAAAGTCGCCACTCAAAGTAAGACGTTGCCGCTAAAAGTAAGACTTTCAATGTTACCACTAAAAGTCCACTTTCTGCGGCAACTCTGTTTGTCGCTGTTGAAAGTTCACTTTTTGCGGTTTTTTTTTTTTACTACTGAAAGGTATACTTTCAGTGGCGATTGTTAGTGTCACCGTTGAAGGTCTGACTTTCAGTGGCGACTTTTTAATGTCGCCGCTAAAGGTTTGACTTTCAATGATGACTTTCTAGTGTCGCCGCTGAAAGTATAATCTAATAATATATATTTTATTTTACAATAATAATAGACAAATTCAATCCAGCTCAACGGCAAGATGATTGGATACGAAATGAGGTGGTCACAAGTTCAAACCCTAAATAAGACACATTTAAAATGAAAATATTTGGACAGTGACGTGGCAGGGAGGGGTGATGTGGCATGAGAGTGGTGATGTGGCAACAATGTGGAGGCAGCTAACGATGACATGGAGGTGGCTAGTAGTGATGTGGCATTCGGTGATGATGTGGTGACCGGCAGCGATGAGGTGGAGGTGGCCAGTAATGACGTGGCATCGACGGTGATGGTGTGGCATTAGTAAAGCTAATTTTTCTTAGGCATCACTTTCAGCGGTGACTCTTTAACTATCGCCACCAAAAGTTCTTTCAACGGCAACAATAAGGTTGCCGCCAAAAGTTCTTTTAGCGGCAACAATAAAGGTCGCTGCCAAAACTAACTTTCAGTGGCAACATTGAAACTTCTAAAAGTCACTGCTAAAAGTTTTCAACCACAATCACTACAACGACGACTTTTCAGCAATGACAAGTCGCCACAGAAAACTTTCAGCGTCGACTTTTTGTGGGTCAAGACAATTGCAAAATAACTTTTTCCATTTTCTAGCATTTGTGGAACTTAGCTTAATGTGTACGGACTTATGGTGAGTCAAGACAATTTCAAAATAACTTTTTCCATTTTCTAGCATTTGTGGAACTTAGCTTGTCATTAATCAAAGACGTACCTAATCAAAGTCTTCGATCTTGTCACTTCCAAATGTTCCACATGGTAACCGTTTGGATTGGGAGTTTGTTGAGTTAAGAATTGATTCCCCTTTTATTTTCATTCGTATATTAAAATTTTGTTCATTGGCTAGTATTCAGTCTTAAGTGTATCCTTAACCATATTAGGACTACATAATAGGTTTCATGGCTTTCTTTATAACAGTCAACATTAGTAACAAACATTATTGTCGAAACTTGAAACAGACCGATGCCCAGTTATTTTAGTTTAATTTCTTTGGATTTGATACTTGAATGAATACTCAATATATACTGATCATTTACTTGAAGTCAATTTCCCAGCCGGATCTCCTTCCGTATGTTGAAAATTTAATTTCACAAGTTTTAGGCTCGAATGCATTAACCTGCAATCACGGAGAAGACCAATGTATCTACGAGGTAATCATTTCCTACCAGTTCAAAGCGGATTTTCCAAGATATGATCAATAACTTGTGGGGTGAAATGGGTAGACAAAGAGGCTATATAAAGGGAAGCTCTTCCTATCTTGAAGAAGCACACATCCCTAGCCCATTTAAAAAAGCAAGAATGGGATCTCTAATGGCTTCTCTCACTCTTGTATTGGCTTTGTTGTCTCTGAGCTTGCCTTTTCAAGCATGCGCTGACTCCTACGGCTTCCCATACCCACACAGGCCGGTCCACCCCCGTCCTCCCAAGCACCATCCTCCTCCTCCACCGCCAATTTCCGTGCCACCTCCCCCGCCTCACTCTCCTCCGCCCTCTCCTTGTCCATCGCCAAGCCCTTCATATACTCCTCCTCCTCCACCAACGCCTGAGTCTCCTCCGCCCCTTTCTCCATTGCCTCCGCCTCCAGTGCACCCCACTCCTCCTCCTCCTTCCCCTACCCCATCCCCTGTCTATCCGCCACCCCACAGCCCCTCACCACCTCCTCCTTACTACTATTAGATAGCAGCTTTGCATGCCTACCATCTCTCACTTCACTCTATGTTTTGGCTTCTTTTCCTATATTGAGAAATTTACAGTGTCAATTCAGTTTATGTCGTTGTGTTTGGCGTGGCACTATACATTGAGATGGTCCATGTACTCGCTTATGATAAATCAGTATGTATGCTTTACTGTGGTTTTCAACCTGTTGCCTTTGCACAGGCTTTTGAAAACCAGCCTATAATAATAATAATATTATCATAATTTCCTCTCTCTTGCTATGTCTTCACATTCCAGATTTCAATTTTTTTCCCCCCAATCTGTTGGGTACAATGGAAATATATTGAAGTAGAAATAAAGTACAATATTGAAAGATGAAGAAACCTGCTCAGCTTCTTCCAGTGATTACGACAAGCAGTGGTGACATTTAAAAAAAGGAAACCATTTTCAATATCTTCAAATTATGTATATTAATCATTTTATAAGAAAGTCTTATTTCAACACTTCTCATTGATAAGAGTAGATACAAAGAAAACACTTGCAAAAAATGTATACATGTTCAAAATAGCCCTCACCGAGCACATTATGTACACATGCGAGAAGCCTTTAGATTGTGTGTTAAATTTCATCCCCTTCTTTTTTCTTTTTTGTCAAAAATTTCATCACCTTCGTCTGTTAAGGTAACATCACCCCCGGGGGGGGGGGGGGGACGCGCTAGTCACGTGCTCGTTCTCATGGGCAAATCATGCACACATATACTGAACAAAACAGTGAAAACAAATCCATGTCTAATAATAAGCATTTTTAGGCCAGTTCAATCCTAAAACAACATATAAATCAATCAACGCTGGTACTTATTAACCCTGCGAGTTACCAACCTCGTGCCTTTTTGCAAGCCAACTGTACTCTATTCAACAATATTACTATCAGTACTTAATATAAAATCTAGTTGACTAATTTAAAAAGAATAAGAAAATTATTAAATTACTTAATTAAAGCATGTGTTACATGATTTCTCTAAAATACTTCTGTATATCATTAGATTATATATCAATTTATAAGTGAGGTAAATTAGTTTAGCCAAAAAAGATAAATATAAATACTTTAAAATAATTTAATAATTTTTAAATTTTTTTAAATTAGTATGCTAGATTTTACATTAAAGACAAGATAGTATAAGCTTTAGATGCAGCTTTCCCTTCATGGACGCAGACAAACACTTGGCAATATTAGCATACACCAAGCATCAAAGTAGCAAGCAATATTATCAACACTGCTTAATACTCTCTCTTTCTAGTCGTATGCATAGAATCCTATTAACCGAATCACATAAATTAAGAAATATGGTTAAAATTAGTATAAAGTTTTGATTTTTTTAAAAAAATTATAATAACCCTTCTAAACTAAAATTGCAGACTCCTGCCTTTGAGCTTTAAAGTCAAACATCCTAACGAAAAGAATTATCAGATAAACGGGTATTTTAGGAAATATACATTTCATAAAGTATCTTATATGTTAAAAATCAAGCCAAATTTCTAGAAGGTGTCTTATATTAAATACTAAAAGATTATATTTAATTACATTAAAACATGAGCCACAGACATAGATGTACATCCATCCAAAAACTATATAAACACGCCCCTTCCATAAACATAAGAAAATAACGGTCACGATTCAACTTAAATGAAGATCCAAATATAAAAACTCTCTGTATAGTGAGTCATGACTCGTGACAATGCTAAAGTTGATCGCACTTTCTCTTGGGTTTTCAAGCCCTGTCGGAGATAGTCTTCACATTAAAAAAAGAAAAAGAAAATCCATAACAGGAGGTGAGGCATGAGCGTCCTGATAAAATTAGTAAATAAAGCCATGAATAGGAATCAAATTAAGGAAAGAGTATATATGTGTGACGTGTGGTGAGTCAAGTCAATTTCAAAATAACTTTCTTCATTTTCTAGCATTTTTTGGAACACAGCTCCCTTTAAAACATTATCATTAATCAAAGACGTGGGTTGTAAGTTTTCTACATTGAGAATGTGATTCCCCTTTTGTCTTCACTGATTTAAGTAAATCGTGTTCATTGGCAAATAAACATTTGAGATATATATTCAGTCGTAAGCGCTTAACGAACAAGTCCGGTGGCTCTATCTCTTTTCATATATGCTGAAAATTTCTGAAATGTTAGGTTCGAATTCATTGAGCTCCAATCACGGAGAAGTCCGGTGGCCCTACAAGGTATTCATTTCCTTAAAAAGGAATGAAGGAAAAAAAATCCGTAACAGGAGGCGAGGCATGAGTGTAAATAAATTCCTGAATAGGATTAAAATTAACGAAAGATTATATCTGGCGTATGGACGTATGGTGAGTCCAGACAATTTCAAAATAACTTTCTCCATTTCCTAGCATTTTTGGAACTTAGCTTGTCATTAAGCAGGAGACATACCTAATCAAAGTCTTAGATCTTATCACTTGCAAATGTTCCACATGATAACCGTTTGGATTACGAGTTTGCTGTGTTGAGAATTGATTCCTCTTTTATTTTCTTTCATATATTAAAATTTTGTTCATTGGCTAATATTCAGTCCTAAGTGTATCCTTAACCATATTAGTTCTCCATCATGGGTGTCATGGCTTTCTTTGTAACAGTCAACGTTAGTAGCAAACATTATTGTCCAAACTTGAAACAGACCGATGCCCAATTATTTTAGTTTAATTTCTTTGGATTTGATATTTGAATGAATACTCAATATATTCTGATCATTGACTTGAAGCCAATTTCTCAGCCGGATCTCCTTCCATATGTGGAAAATTTAATTTCTTAAATTTTAGGCTCGAATGCATCAACCTGCAATCACGGAGAAGACCAATGTATCTACGAGGTAATCATTTCCTACCAGTTCAAAGCGGATTTTCCAAGATATGATCAATAACTTGTGGGGTGAAATGGGTAGACAAAGAGGCTATATAAAGGGAAGCTCTTCCTATCTTGAAGAAGCACACATCCCTAGCCCATTTAAAAAAGCAAGAATGGGATCTCTAATGGCTTCTCTCACTCTTGTATTGGCTTTGTTGTCTCTGAGCTTGCCTTTTCAAGCATGCGCTGACTCCTACGGCTTCCCATACCCACACAGGCCGGTCCACCCCCGTCCTCCCAAGCACCATCCTCCTCCTCCACCGCCAATTTCCGTGCCACCTCCCCCGCCTCACTCTCCTCCGCCCTCTCCTTGTCCATCGCCAAGCCCTTCATATACTCCTCCTCCTCCACCAACGCCTGAGTCTCCTCCGCCCCTTTCTCCATTGCCTCCGCCTCCAGTGCACCCCACTCCTCCTCCTCCTTCCCCTACCCCATCCCCTGTCTATCCGCCACCCCACAGCCCCTCACCACCTCCTCCTTACTACTATTAGATAGCAGCTTTGCATGCCTACCATCTCTCACTTCACTCTATGTTTTGGCTTCTTTTCCTATATTGAGAAATTTACAGTGTCAATTCAGTTTATGTCGTTGTGTTTGGTGTGGCACTATACATTGAGATGGTCCATGTACTCGCTTATGATAAATCAGTATGTATGCTTCACTGTGGTTTTCAGCCTGCTGCCTTTGCACAGGCTTTTAAAAACCAGCCTATAATAATAATAATATCATAATTTCCTCTCTCTTGCTATGCCTTCACACTCCATGTTTCAATTTAATTATTTTTTTTTTTTCCCGATCTGTTGGGTACAATGGAAATGTATTGAAGGAGAAATAAAGTACAATATTGAAAGATGAAGAAACCTGCTCAATTTCTTCCAGTGATGACGACATGCAACGATGGCATTTAAAAAAAAAAAAAAATTTGAAACCGTTTTCGATATGTTCATATTATGTGTATAATCATCTTATAAGAAAGTCTTATTTCAACATTGATAAGAATAGATATAAATAAAACATACAAAAAATGTATACTTGTTAGAAATAGCTCTCACCGAGTACAGTATGTACACATGCGAGGAGCCTTTAGATTGTGTTTGTTAAATTCCATCACCTTCATCTGTTAAGGTAGACCCCGCGTTAGTCACATGCTCGTTCTCATGAGAAGCCTTTAAAAAGCAAATTTTAATTTCCCCCATTTAAGGGAGGCCAATGGCATGGACAAATGTTTATATAACTCGGCAGGATTCGAAGAACATATGCATGCATATACTGAACAAAACAGTGAAAAGAGATAGAACCACGGAAACACTTCAGATGCACATGTATCTTTGTTTTGTCTCTTTAAAAGAGGCTATCTATGGAGCAACTTTAAATTATTTATTTATTACTTCATGTCTATTTCTATTTAATTGGTGGTGTGGGTAATGTATTTTGACATATGTAAGGTTGCACTATTCAGTCTGATGCTTTTGCGCACGCTTCTGAAAACCAATCCACATCTAAAAATAATATTTTAAGGACAGTTCAATCCAAAAACAACAGATAAATCAATCATTGCCAGTACTTATTAACCCAGCGAGTTACCGATATCGTGCCATTTTGCAAGCAAACCGTACATAATAATCTCTCTCTCTCTCTCTCTCTCTAGTCGTATGCATAAAATACTATTAACCGAATCACATAAATTAAGAATTATGGTTAAAATTAGTTTAAAATTTTGTTTTTTTAAAAAAAAAAATCTAAACTGAAATTGTTAACTTCTGCCTTTGAACTTTAAAGTCAAACATCCTAACCAAGTAAATTATTAGATATATGGGTATTTTAGGAAATAAACCGTATACGCTTCACCACATTTTATAAAATATCGTATGTATTAAAAATCAAGCCAAATTTCTAGAAGATGTCTTATATTAAATATTTAATTGCATTAAAACATCAGTCACAAACATATATGCACATCCATCCAAATACTATATAAACAACCCCCTTCCGTAAACCATAAGAAAATAATGGCCAGCGATTCAAACTAAATAAAGATCCATATATAAAAACTCTCTGTATAGCGAGTCATGACTCGTGACAATGCTAAAGTTGATCACACTTTCTCTTGGTTTTTCCAGCTCTTTTGGAGATAAGTCTTCACATTAAAAAAAGAAAAATAAAATCCATAACAGGACGTGAGGCATGATCGTAAATAAATTCCTGATTAAAATTAAGAAAAGAGTATATATGGCATATGGAAGTATAGTGAGTCGAGACAATTTCAAAATAAATTTCTCCATTTTCCAGCATTTTTGGAACTCAGCTTGTCATTAATCAAAGAGTTACCTAATCAAAGCTTGTCATTAATCAAAGACATATATACTAATCAAAGTCTTAGATCTTATCACTTGGAAATGTTCCACATGATAACCGTTTGGATTGGGAGTTTGCTGAGTTGAGAATTGATTCCTCTTTTATTTTCATTCATATATTAAAATTTTGTTCATTGGCTAATATTCAGTCCTAAGTGTATCCTTAACCATATTAGTACCCCATCATGGGTGTCATGGCTTTCTTTGTAACAGTCAACGTTGGTAACAAACATTATCGTCCAAACTTGAAACAGACCGATGCCCAATTATTTTAGTTTAATTTCTTTGGATTTGATACCTGAATGAATACTCGATATATACTGATCATTGACTTGGAGTCAATTTCCCAGCCGGATCTCCTTTCGTATGTTGAAAATTTAATTTCTTAAATTTTAGGCTCGAATGCATTAACCTGCAATCACGGAGAAGACCCACACGGAGAAGACCCATGGATCTACAAGGTAATCATTTCCTACCAGTTCAAAGTGGATTTTCCAAGATATGATCAATAACTTGTGGGGTGAAATGGGTAGACGAAGAGGCTATATAAAGGGAAGCTCTTGCTCTTGAAGACGCACACACCCAAAGCCCATTTGAAACGCAAGAATGGGATCTCTAATGGCTTCTCTCACTCTTGTATTGGCTTTAATGTCTCTGAGCTTGCCTTTTCAAGCATGCGCTGACTCCTACGGCTTCCCATACCCACACAGGCCGGTCCACCCTCGTCCTCCCAAGCACCATCCTCCTCCTCCACCTCCAATTTCCCTGCCACCTCCACCCAAGAGTGGATCTGAACCGCCCTCTCCTCCACCTTATGTTTATCCACCACCAACCCCTTCCCACGGTACTCCACCACCGGTGCCTCATTCTCCTCCACCTTCTCCTTCTCCGTCACCAAGCCCTTCATATACTCCTTCTCCTCCTCCTTCAATTCCTAACTCTCCTCCGCCCCTTTCTCCAACACCTCTACCTCCAGTGCACCCCACCCCTCCTCCTTCCCCTACCCCATCCCCTGTCTATCCGCAACCCCCCATCCCCTCACCACCTCCTCCTTACTACTAGTAGATAGCGGCTTTGCATTCCTACCATTTCTCACTTCACTCCATGTTTTGGCTTCTTTTCTTATATTGAGAAATTTACAGTGTCAATTCAACTTATGTCGTTGTGTTTGGTGTGGCACTATATATTGAGATTGTTCATGTACTTGCTTATGATAAATCAGTATGTATACTTTACGGTGGTTTTCAACTTCTTGCCTTTGCACAGACTTTTGAAAACCAGCCTATAATAATAATAATATTATAATTTCCTCTCTCTTGCTATGTCTTCACATTCCAGATTTCAATTTCGTTTCCTATTTATTGGGTACAATGGAAATACACTGAAGTGGAAATAAATACAATGAAAGACAAAGAAACCTGCTCAGTTACTTCCAATAATGATCGCGACATCACTACAAAAAAAAAAAAAAACTTTAGGCGACAACTTTCAGCGACGACACCAAAAAGCCGCCGCTGAAAGTGAACTTTGAGCGGCGACTTTTTTTGTCGCAGCTAAAAGTGAATTTTGAGTGGCGACTTTTTAGTGAAACTAACACTTTCAGTGGCAACAAAAAAAGTCGCAGTTGAGAGTGGACTTTTTGTCGCCGCTAAAAGAGTGTACCTTTGAGAATCATTGGATTCATTTTCAGCAGCGACTATCAGTGTCGCCGCTGAAGGTGTGACTTTTAGCGGCAACTTTATAATGTCACTGCTGAAAATGTAATATAATAATATATATTTTATTTTACAATATTAATAAATAAATTCAATCTGGCTCAACGGCAAGAAGATTGGACAAGAAAGGAGGTGGTCACGAGTTCGAACCTTGAAGAAAACACATTTAAGGTGAAAATATTTGGATGATGACGTGGCGGGGAGGAGTGATATGGCAATGACGTGGAGGTGGCTAGTGATTATGTGGCGGTCGGCGATGATGACGTGGCAGCTTGCGGTGATGACGGGGTGGCTGGCGGTGATGATGTGGTGTTAGTAAAGCCAATTCTTCTTAGGCATTACTTTCCGCGGTGAGAAAAAAAGTCGCCGCTGAACATCCCTTTTGGTGGCGACAAATTGTCGCCGCTGAAAAGTCTTTTAGCGGCGGCAAGAATGTCACTGTCAAAAGTGTCTTTCAACGGCGATATTCTTGTCGCCGCCGAAAGTGTATTTTAGCGGCAGCCTTTTTAGTTGCTGCTAAAAGTATTCAGTCACAGCTGCTACAGCAACGACTTTTTAGTGGAGACTGAAAATGTTCAGTAGCGACTTTTATAGTTTCAGCGGTGACAAAAAAGTCAATTTTTTTGTTGTAGTGCATGCAATCTAGACATTAGGGAAAAAAATTGTTACATCCATTATCTTCATATTATGGATAGTAATGATCTTATAAACAAGTCTGCTTTCAACATTCCTCATTGATAAGAGTAGATATATGGATCCAACCACGATGTTTCCAAGTGATCCACCTTGAAGCCTTTATAAAACAATATTAATTTTTTTCCCTATTTAAGGGAGGCCAATGGCCTGGAGTAACAGCAATAATGTTTATATAACTCGGTAGGAATCGAAGAACATACATACATACTGAAGAAAACAGTGAAAAGAGATGGGAGGACGGAAACACTTTGCATTCACAAATCACAATGCATCTTTGTTTTGTATCTTCTGAAAGGGGCCATCTATTGAGCAACTTTAACGAGTTAATATATCGCGTCCTGTCTTTTTCTGTTTAATTGGTGTGGGTAATGTATTTTGACATACATAAGGCTGCACTTTTCAACCAATTCATCATAATAATACTCTCGCTTGCTCTGTGTCTCTAAAGTCTAAAAGAATATTTAGGCCAGTTTAAACCAAAAACAGCAGAAAAATCAATGCCAGTATTGATTAACCCAGTGAGTTACTAGGCTTAATTGATCCAAGTTTCCCTTCTTTTTCGGTTATTGGATTATTGTAAACTCTCTTGTATTATCTTGGCATTAGAACCAAATTCTCTTGTTTTCTTTCAATTTTAAATACAATCATTCAGATAGATTTAACGCCCCGTAGCGTGCAATGCACATAATAAATATCCTGAAACAACATATCCTTGGTGATCATGATTCTTCACAAATGACGAAGTTAGTCATATTGACTTTGTTTTCTTTGCATTAATTGTTGGACTTAAAATGTGAAGACGTCAATGTTAATGGGCTATGTACCTCATTAACGTCCTAAGTGCACCCGGTTGGGTTGGCAGGTTTGCAATGCTGAGAATTGGTCATTTACACATACTTAGTCAGATTAATTCTGTTCATTGGCAAATACAGTAAACTATTGTACTATTGTTATGTATGTATATTCAGCCGTGATTGTACCTTGACCATGTAACTTCATCTTAGCACTAGCATGATTTCCTTCATGACAGTCAACATCAATTACAAACATCGTTGAAAATTGAAAGAGATTCCCAGTATTAATAAACTTTTTGGATTTGATGCCCAAATGAAGCACTCAATCAATGCTTAGCCTTAAAACTAAATTTCTTAGCTCGATCTGTTTCCGGCCTTTGAAAAATATTTCACATTTTAGGTTCAAATTTATTAACCTCCAATTATGGAGAAATCCAAGGAAAGTTTTTTCTCCCTCTATGTAAAATATCTATCCAACCCAAAATAAAGGGGAAATACACTGAAGTGTTCAATTTAAGTTCATCAGCATCTTCTTTTTGGAATTTCATTAAAAAATTTCAGTGGCTTTTTGCATATAAGAGCTGAGAACCCACATAAAAATATTTGTATAACATAATTTAATAAAAATGACCACTAAATATCGATCCACTCTCACTCATAAATATGTTCTTTCCTTCTCTAATAAAGAATTTTGCAGAAAGTAAAAAGCCTACTTGTGCGAACTATAAACAAAAACAAGTAAAACAAAACGGTACAATAAAAAAGATAAGAATATGATCGAATAAGGCAAGGAAAAGAGAAAACAACCCAAAGTTGATTCAAAGTAATGGTCTGAGTTATTTTCCTACTAGATCATCATACCAAAATTGACTGTATACCTCTAGATTAATGATCACCAATCAGTTCACAGGATCACGCAATAGATAATACCTCGAGTCATCAAAACAGAGAGAACAAAACAAAAACGAACATCACCCCAGTGCTGAATACCTATTGTTTATATACAATAAATCATCAAGCCTCAAATAAATTAAGCTCTAATTTCCTTCATTGATATTGCTTGTTACAGTTGGGCATTGTCGGTTTACCAGAAAACTCATTCCAATAACCGCAGGTAACATATTCCTTTGTCAAAACAACTTTTTTACAGCAAATGTTTTGACATCAACCGGAGTGGGATTTATATATTTCCAAGTATTATCAACTATACCATTAGTCTGTCTCTATACAGTCTCTGTCACTTCTGTATTGGTCAGCTTCTGTTAACTCCTTTCTCCCTCGAGCAAAAAGGGGAAACGAAAAAATCTATCTATTTGAACACCCAAAGAAAGTGGAAAATGAAAAATCCAGATTCTCATGTGACTGCCTGAAGATAACAGCGATCTAGTATGTTGTGCTTATCTCAAGCACCGTTAGTTTCTGAATCATTCTGCAATTTGGACAACAGAAACTAAGATTAAGCCAGATGAATGAGTGAAATTTACCATATGAGAGAAAGCTGAAATAACTTGTCATAAAATGTAGCCATAAATGTTTACCTCAACTTCTTTAAGGAGATTTTCCAGTTCAACTGTTATCTCAGAGAAGAATGGCCGATTGGCTGGAATTGCTTCCCAACATCTTTGCATTAAATCTATTAGTTTAGGGTGCCCTTGCTTTGGAAGTTCCGGGCGTAACCCCTGAAAGGATGTAAATCACTGTTGGGTCAGACACAATGACACACTCCTTGTTGAATACCAACTGAAATGTAGAATCCCAGTGCACTCCTGATCGATAATATAGTAGATTTAGTCATTTTCATTTCAAAGTTCACAAAGGCATAGCCCAAGAAAAGATGCGCTTCAATGAGGGCAAAAATAATAAATTAATTGTTGCTTTTCCAGAGTTGATTTAGTGTAGTCATGCAGATTCACGTCAATAAGAGGGTTCAATTGTATTGCTAAACTTTATGATCAAACATTCAAGTTTTATATTTGAACAGAGAGAGCAAACCTGTCTCACGCCTAGGGCAGCTTGTAGTGGAGTCATCGCATCATATGGTACCTGAAATACCATACATGACCATATTCTGTTTTTAGTAGTCTCCTTGATGTCAAAAATCAGTGTCCATGGAATGGAAGAGTAATGTAAGAGAATAAAAATTATATGACTGTAATTTACGCCATACCTTTGCAGTTACTAGTTCCCACAGTACTATGGAAAAACTGAATACATCAGCTTTCTGATCATAAGGTTGATGGTTTATAACCTTGAGAGGAAATTTGTTATCAGTGAGATGGAGAAAGTAAAGCCAGAAAGAGAGAAAAATATAACATGACAGATCCGAGTTTTCAGTTTTTTAATTACTTCTGCTGTTTATTTCTGGTTTAGGGGACAGTGAGGGACAATAAAAGAAAGTAAACACCAATGATATGTTGACCCCCTATGGCTCTTTCTACTAAATGTCTGTAATAACTTGTAAGTATTTTGGCCTCAAGTTTTCCCCGTTTATTTCTCTTCAGTCTAGCAGGGTGTTACCTTGGGAATGACCTTTCAAGAATTTTAGGCAAAATTTGGGGGGCGTCCTATTACTTTGGAACAATTTCTCCCAATTCTATTTAAATATTTTGGCAATTAGAAAGAAAACAATGCATAGTTGAAGTAATTCAGTGGTTTGCTTGGTGATGCCGGCACCTTAAAGTGTATATCCATCTTGCAATCATTTTTGGGATAAGTAGCATATATGGCTTCAGAATGACCTTTTAAGAATTTTTGGCAAAAACTGGGGGCATCCAAGTACCTTGGGACAATTTCTCCTAATTCTACGCGATTTGGTAACAAGAGAGAAAATAATGCATCATCAACAATACAGTGTTTAAGGGTTCCGCAGTTTGCTTGGTAATGCCTGCATTTTCAAGACCATATCTTCATCTTGAAACCAGTTACGGGATGAAATTATATTATACGACTTGTCTTTGAATAATTAATAGGTTTCTTAACAAGACCAACAGTAGCTCCCAGAACCCTACGCTTTAATGAGCACGCATCAAGCACCTATTGATATACTGAAATATCAAAAAGCAATCATAATGTCATCTCTAGAAAACAAACCTCCGGAGCCATCCATCTGTATGTTCCAGTTTCTGCAGTCATCACTCCCCCCTGATTCAGGAACCGAGCTACTCCAAAATCTGCTACTTTAACAACCTTGCAGGGAAGAAAAAGAAGATTTCAAATGATCATTTTTAACAGTGTATTCAAAAGGTTAAAACAGCACATTTATATTAAAAAAATCATATCCAAAACAGAAATGATAGTTACAATAACAAATTCTCAAACATTCAACAACAGCAGTTCTTACGCAACTATTAAGTTACTGTCCATAAATGAGTGAAAACATGGAACACTTTATTCTGAACGAGAAATGCACCAAAAATAGCAATGCTCTGTAATCAAACTAGAAATGCACTTAATAAGCACAAGTCCACAACCAAAAGAAAAGTGGAAAAAAACAAAAAAAGAAAGAGGGAGCGCAGCATGTTGACCGCAATAAATTAAATGAATGTCTTGGGCTACCATGTCAACTATTACCTCCGATCTTTAATATAAAAGCTCGTTTGACTTTTATTTTGATCATAAATATAAGAACCTAATTCACTTTGTCTCTCATATTTATCCATTTTTTCTAAAGCAGTCCTTGTAATAATAATAGTTCTAGTCAATATACTCAAGTAGTAAAGATATTTAAGGAAAAGCAACACCTATTTATTACAAATAACTAACTTAACTAGTTTTCTTAATCTACTCAAATTAGTCAACTAGTTCTTATATTAAGGACTGGAGGTAGTACATCCTTTTTCTTTTTGCAAGGCCAACGAAACAGATCACATTCATTAGTTATCAACAGAACAATGGTACGGACATTTATAGGGGAGACATCCTACAAATCAGGCACTCAAGTCCCGTGATTTATGTGAATTAAAGAGCAACAAATTATAGTGAAGCAGATAAGATGAAAGCAGAACCAGATAAGGAAAATTTTTGCTAGATAAAACAAGGAAAGATGCTGTTGGATGACTGCATCAAAATCAGGACATAAAGTCAAGATTTCAATGAGAATAGAACTTAATGGCTATATTCTCCAAACTCCAATAACAACTACAATAAGCCTTATCCCATTAGGTAAGGTTGGCTACATGAATCACAAGATACCATTGTGTTCTATCCATATCCAAGTTTTTGGATATGTTGTTGAGCATGAGGTCTCATTTAATGACTTTATTAAACGTTCTTCTCAGTCTTCCTCTAGCCCTTTTTATAGAACTCTAAATTGTCTGATCTACCCTTCTCACCGGCACCTCCAATGGCCTTTTCTGCACATGCCCAAATCACCTCGAGCGATATTCAACCATTTTCTCTTCGATAGGCGCCACACCTACTTTTGCTCTAATATTTCCATTTCAAACCTTATCTTTTCTTGTATGACCATCCATCTATCTTAACATCCTCATTTCTACTACCCCAACTTTTTACTCTTGTTTTTTCTTTATCACCCAATATTCATTACCATACAGTATAGTTGGTCTTATAGCAGTTTGATAGAATTCTCTAAACTCCAATAGTAACAAAAATACTTGAGAAGTCAATTTAGTTTCAATTATATATCATCAAGTGGCCAATGGAAAAATATGAATCCACAAGTAGGACATAACTGCATACATAAAATTCATCAATGTGCTTTTACAAAGTAAAACCCAATTTGGTAAGGGTAACATATTTAGTATTAAAATTTAAATTTGTCATAAGTTCTTACATCGTGGGTATCCATCAACAGATTGGCTGTCTTCAGATCCCTGTGAATTATATTGTTTCTGTGCAAATACTCCATACCCTTACAGACATCAATCGCAAACTTCAGTAGTTGAGAGAGATCGAGCATATTATGGTTTTTATGCAAGTAATCATACAGACTTCCTCCAGGCATATACTCTGCAAGCAAGGGAAAAACGATAAAATACATCTTTATGCTTAAATTTAGCAGACTAACATTTGACGAGAAATAGATGAGGAGACCAGACATATATACATATTTCAAGGTAATAAGCAATATTCCCGAGGGCATTAAACAATCAATAGCAAAACAAAACTCAATTGGGCGTATGTGTTCATAAATTTGGTACAAGAATGTTCCTCTAGATAAGTTGCATGTTCCAGCAGAAGCAACGTATTTGCCAGAGAGTCAAATAACATAATTGGCCGTTAAATACAAGTTCTATTTCTTTTTTATTTATATTTGAGATTGAAATCAACTCATAGTCTCCTAGTTCAAAGAAAATCAGCATCATTTGGCGTTACCCTTCGTCAACTATATATTTTCTGTTGTGTTAATTCATCAACTTTACGTATCGATATTCAAATAATATTAAAAGAATTCATCGTATGGTTACTCAAAACATTTCTCAACAAAGGTGGTCTGTCAATTACACAATAAATCCAAGAGTCAATATCATTTTTAGTCCCTGAAATTCTATCTCATTTTACTTTTGGTCCTTAAAATTTGAAACCAATGGCTTTGGTCCTTGAAATTTGACCTTATTTTGATTTTGATCTTTGCTTCCAGGACTACAAACATCGTTCTCAGGACCAAAAATCTTCAAGTGGACCAAACTGAAGTCAAATTTTAAGGACCAAAACCAAAATGAGATCAAATTTCAGGGACAAAAACCGCTAGTTTCAAATTTCAAGAACCAAAACGAAAGCAAAGTAAAATTTTAAGGACTAAAGATAGTATTAACCCTAAATTCAATAATTTATAACTATACATGATCTGCACCAGTGACTTGACACACGTGCGCATGGCAATACACTTATTTTTCAATTCCTTACTATAGTAAAGAGATAGGGGAAGAGTTTTCGAACTTCTTTTATTCGTGTGTTCGTGTGTTGGAGAGGCCATGAGATCAAACTCCTGGCAGAGCCACACATCTTACTATAGATATGCCAAATGAAGTTGGGAACAGTTAACGGCAGAAAGATACCTGTTACAATCCACAAATGTGGAGATTTTGTACATGCACCAATGAAACGAACAACATTTTTATGATGCACCTGCCTGCATGCAAAAGTTCGCAAGTCAGAAAATTTCCAGTGCTAGAATGTAAGGGCCGAATAAGAAAAGCTCAGAAATATACATACATATATATATATATATGAGTTTTAGACCCAAGGGTTTTTAGCAAGGAGCATCAACAATGATTGGTGTGACTCAACTTTGATATCACAGTTTCCTCCTTTTTTGGGCTTAAATATTAATACAAGTTTAAGGTAAATAAATTGTAATGCACTATCACCAAAAGAAAATAAATCACATTACATGCCTCACCCTTAGCACTCATTCAATATATTTCACAAAGTGAAACTAAATGCAAAATTTATTAAGGAAACATCATGATGCACCATGAATCGTACACTAAAAGCAGTGTGATACTGACCTAAGAATTGCCACTTCTTGAGCAAACTCATCCTCTAAAGCATCGTTCAAATGCTCAGATCTCAAAATCTTAACAGCAACATCTTGACCAAGATAAACTCCATGATACCTGAAGATGAATAACAGGGCCAATAAGAAGAACAGAGAAGTGACAAGACAACCACGAACAAAAGCTAAAAGAAATCAATTGATTCAAAGTGAAAAAGCTCAACTTACAAATCTCCACAAGATCCAGATGCTATTCTATCTCCTATTTTAAGCAGCCTCCTGTCTATTTCCCAATCACCAGATTTTGCTTCTCCTACTATCGCCTTCTCTGCAGTTGTATGGGAGTTCAAAGAACGAGACCAAGACCCCTACAGTAAGGAAGAATATCAATTACTATCTTGCAGGCCTTGATTACGTGCGAGAAAAAGGAGTTCAAAATCAGCAATATTTCTGAATCTCGTGATTCCTACTAGAACAGCAAACTGAGAGTTAAACTCTTCCTAAAGTAGAGGGGAAGACTTTCATTGTGCGCCACTACTCAAATAAATTAATTGGTTGATCTATCACATTATGCACCACTACTCAAGTAAATCAATGATACTACTCAATGTGGGACTTAGGCATCTCATATTACCTTCCTATCCATCAGTTATCATCATCCAGCCCAATTTTTTTACCCCTTCTGATGTCACTTTTCATGAAAATTGCCCCTATTTCTCTCAACATTATCTTTGAGGGGAGATTTCAATCATAGAAAATAAGGGGAACAAATTTTGGCTCGTCTCTCGCTCAACTCACTCTCAAATAATGAACCCAACTCTTCTGCATCTTATGTTCCTTCACCAAATATAGAGCAACCAGAAAAATGCCCAAACAAAAGGCACAGAAAGCAGCCTAGAAAAATGCACCCGTAGTCTTCCAAACACAACCTATAACAAAGGACATTACACTTGAACCAGTGAAAACTAAACAGTTTTTACTCAAGAAAGAAAGCTTAAGGTATTGAACCAGGGGAAGCCCAATTTTTCAAGTAATGACAAAATATCACTACATTCCTGCTGCTGTCAGAAAAGGAACTAGGGAGCGTACTAAGCATCATTATATCCTGTTTCCCATTTCGTGTTCCCAGCTCACACAAATTATCTTCTTGGCCTAAAAAACCACTTTCTATGCCCACTTCTATGTCTAAGATATTGACTAAAAAGAAATGGAGGCAAGCCATTGTTGCGGAGATGAAAGCCTTGGAGGGGGAAATAACGTGAGAATTAATGGAGCTACCTTGAGGGTGAAAAAAATGACCTGGATGCAAATGGCTGTCAACCTTTAGGTTTGAAAAACTCATAAAATCTCATACTCGAGCCTCAGGTTTATGAAAATTGTAAATTTACACTTTTCATTCATAAGCATATTGCAGGCAGTTTAAGCCAATAAATGTTTGAATCAAATCTTTGGAGATGTATCAATCCATAAATAGAACCGATCACTTTGTAAATACAAGGTCAACGAGACTTCATGCACCTCACTTCTTGCAACAGCTTTCTCCATGGCCTCATACAATCCATGTGTGTCCTGAGCACAAGATTGCAAAGTCAGCAACCTTTAAAGTGAATGTAGATCCTCCATCATACAATAAATATACTCACAATGATTCTTAATATCCTACAACCTCAAATCCTGGGATTGACTAATTTGTTATTTTCCCCTAAATTTGAAAAGTCTGATTAGCATGCTATTTAGCAACAGTATATGATAAAAGCCAATGTAATATGTGAGGGTATCCATGAATAGATTTTTCTCAAGGCTACAAGGCCGTAAAGGTCTTAACGGAAAAGCAAATGCCACCAAACATTTTGCAATGTACCTCTACTGGCCATCCATCCACAACAAATACATCAAGGGAGTAGCCATCCGTCGTTGAAAAAACATGTGCTTCACGGATGTTAAGTCCAATATCAGACAGCAACGCAGACAGCTGAAATAAAATCATTCATTAGAAGAAATCACATTGCTCATCAAGTATATTTCAAGGATGCACAATAAAGAATGTCCTGAGAAAGTAAAATTATGTTTTTCCATGCAAGTATATGGTTAGGCCTAAGGAAGATAAATGCGTTGTTGTTTCCAAATCAGACTCATGAAACATGCATATAAGGAGAAGTTTTGTTAGACTTGCAGATACATTCCACTGAATTATCAATAAGAAATCAATCACCCATCATAAAGAAAAGAAATAAATCGCAAACAAATAACTCAAATCAGAAGTACACAAAACTTCCCATTTGTACAATACCTATCACTAATAAATATATATCAGTTTAACATATCAAGTGCTAAAGTTGAATACCATCCAGTGGCCCTAGTAAGTAGCAACTTACGAGTTTGAGTTAAAGAAATGAGAAAAAACTGGTTTGTTATTTAATGTCTGGAGAAATAAATCAGATGAACTTTAATTTGAAACAATCAGGAAGCAACTATATATTGCATCCGATACTATCTTTCATAAATGGACCAAACAATATAGTCATTTCACTGAAGAAAAGATACTCCCCATCGCCTTTGTCAACTATAATGACTAGTTAGTAGATACATTCAAGAATCCCTCAAAGAAGACCCCGTTTCCTTCATATGTAACAAGCTTAGCATGCATTACACATACATTCCAGCTGTATCATAGCACGACGTGCATTTATCTTATTCATTATACTTTTATGCAATACTATGCACCACCTACAGTACTACTACCATGTACAACCCTTTGTAAATGCGATGATTAATCCATGCAATATACACTTGCTACATTTCACATAAAAGGTTTCTCTCTCATTTCACTCTGATTATACGGCAAGCATCTGCAATTCTAGTCAGGATATATGATGAATCAACCAACCATATTTGCTACAAAAATCAAAATGATAAGCTCTAATTCTTCATCAAATACCTACTGTCTGAGGTAACTGGATGTTAAACTCAACCAATCGATTATAGTGGAACAAATGCAGAAATTGAACATCTATATTCATACAAGGAACACCAAAAACTTGGAATTCTAACTATTTTGAAAAATATAATTCCAATATTGGACAAATAAGATAAATATTTCAAACATACCTGGCTTAAAAGCTTTGGCTTGTCAATGGCAGAAAATATAACTTCATGAACTGGAATACTCAGTTGCTCATGCCTGCATTTTACATTGCAATTTGAGTAATTTACCACACAAGGGCCACAAATGACAGAGATACTAAAATGTAAACAGCACTTGCCACAGGGCAAAACCCAATTTGCAGCATAGTAAGACAGACATCTTGATAAATGGTCCAACACGTCTTAATCCTGTAAATCATGTATTTCATTTTCCAAAAGCAAAGCACCATCAGGGGAGGCAGTTGCCTATGACTACAATTAACAATTTCAGTTTATCAGTGCCTTTAACTAGAAGGCTAATCATCATAACTTGCTTATATAAAAAATAAAAAGAGTAATTTAAATGTCACAAGTGCAGAGGAAACAAAGTCATTCACACATTTCCTATTATACTCTTTCACAAACCATATATGATTAAGAAAACAAACAGGAAGGCATTGGTTTACAAAATAGAAATCATGACAAAGTTCATCAACCAGTCCTCCCCAGTTAATTGAGCCTCAAGCAGACCACTGCACATGCCACCATGGTGAACCTCCATCAAATCCCATGGCGGCACACGAGAACGCATGACACTCTGGCAATGGTCAACCCAGAATGTGTCACCAGTAGTTGTAGAGGCCAGTTCAAGTGTCTTCCAACTTAGTTTAAGCCTTAACAGCAGTGTTACTCTTGAAGGTGCTATTTTGTGTTTCTTTTAACAGCCTTTAAAAGCTCTGTTCACTGCCTCCACCAGTTTTGTACATTGCCTCTGTTGCTCACCGCCTCTCCCATTGTACCCATTAATTGTCTGTGTTCTGAGGCAGTGAGTAGTGAGCCCACAACAATCAGCTTTGCCCCAGTCCTTGACAATCACTGTAGTCCAACAGGTAATCGCCAAATATTCAAGCCACCCACATAGTGAACAGGAAAAATTACTTGAAATAGGGCATATGATTGACAGATTTCCCAAAATATAAGTGGTCATATTTGAATTTCAAGTCATAAATGAAGGGATCAGTGTTGAATTTCAAGAGATAGTAAAACCTCATAGTAAGGGCAAAAAAAAGCTCTGTTGTAACCAGGTTAAATGAATATTACCACTTCTCTTCGTATATTCATTCCAGGAATTATTCAAAAAAAAAAGGATAAAAGAATGAAATTTTAGATGATTTTTGGGATTACATCTGGGAGTAATTGTCAGTAACCTCCTTGGAGTTCTTTCCAACATCCAAATTAAGATCTTCAAGCTTAGAGCAAGGCTCAAACTCAGCTGCACAGTCTCTTGCCCTACTCATAGAAATGATATACATGATATTAAAAAAAGCCAGAAATGATAATGGATAATTATTAAAAAAATATACATATGAAACCTACAGCTGCCTAAAAAATCATCATTAAGAGTTGATGTGGTATTAATAAAACAATGACAGGTAAACCGCTTGCCTTTTATGAGATGATTCAGCTTCCCCATTAGATGCGGGAGAAGATGGCCTTATGCTAGAATGAGCATTTATAATTTGTTGATCTCGATCATCCATTCTAGTAGAAATGTGCTGCCAACCATTTTGAAGGATAAGAAAAATGAAAATTAAACATAGCCATTGAAGGCAGAAAAAAATCTGACAGAAGCTAGAAGAAAAGGAATCACTAATTGTAGAGTATAATGTGTTTAATGTATAGAGACCTCAGACAAGGAAAGTAAATCTAGAATTGACATTTTTAGGCGAAAAAAGAGCATATTATTAGTTAGTAGGATATTAAATTTAGAAACAATGTCCTCCAAAACCAAGTATGAAAGCATAGTAGGAGAACATCACAAAATATTGATGACAAAGGTTTTATATGATTAGATTCAAAAGTAAAAAGTTCATATCATATTACAATTATAAGCCTTGTAAAGAGTCCCACATTGGGAGCCGAAGGCAATCTATGTGGCACTTAAGGGGATTGTTCTTTCTATTACAAGCTGCTTTTAAGGGCTAGTTCCCCCGGCTTGCTTAGGTCTCCACCAATTAGCACAAGGGCTAGGACCAGTCTCTGAAAAAGTTTGCTCGTGGAGAGAACGTCATGGTCATAGCATGAGGAAAGTGCAATGCAACGCCAAGAACTTGCTAGCTAACGTGAGCACCCAGATTTTGGGAGCCAAATTGAGAGGGGAAGCAAATAAGGAGGAGTTCACCTTTACCAGCCAGATTCAAGGACGAATACTCAGCCACTAAGTCTAAGTCTGAATCCATATCGCGCTCCCCTCTCTTTTTCTTTTGCACTTTGTAAAGAGAATATCACGTCCTCAAACTCTTCTAAAGTTCTCTATGAATAAAAAGTAGAAGAACGCAAGGGTGCAAAAAAGAATGGCATCTGCATAATTCCAAGCTTCAATCCTATGGTATAACTTATCCTTCATTATCGTATGGAATAAAATTGTCCAGTAGTTCATGACATTACAATTACCTAAGTCTCCCCGGTTACCTAAGTCTCTCCAAACAACATCTTGAATATATATATATATATATATATATATATATATATATATATTAAAACAAAACAAAAGAGGTACCTCCAAAAAGCGTATATTGTAGACAGGGCGCTTGCTTGGGTCCCTTGCCAAGGCAAGAAGTTTCTGATGTAATAAAACATCTTCAGCTCTGTCTATGTTAACATCAAGCAAATAACTGAAACGACAGCAGATTCCATGCATCAGTCTTAGTTATCAGTACAACTATATCTTATCACATTAAGCATACAACTTAAATTACCAAACCTTCGCAACACAGACCAAATAGAACATTTAGAACCAACACATGAGAAGTCTATATCATCGTTCAACACTGAACTGCAACGCTCCACTCTATGCTATTCTCACGAGAGAGCAGCGGGGAAAATCAATGCCAACACGTTAAGCGATATGAAATGTTAGCTGTGTAAATATATTAATCCTTATAGTCTATAAGCATAAAAATATCAAAATGTTCACCGACTTCTGTTTTCAGTCAGTAACTTGGGATTCACCGGCCTCTTGAACATGAAAAGAAAGATAAAAATTACTAATTACAGCACACAGAAATGAAGAGATGAAACCGATAATGTTGATAATGCTTTCAACAAATCCAAAATAACAAGTTCATTGTCAGTGCCCTTTGATACCGTTTAAATAAAAGGGAATCAAGGGAATAACATGATATCAAATTATTTTGATGAAATCACCTACGATGAACTCAATTTAGCGTATTTAAGATTTTAAGTCCATAACACTTCAAAGACTTACATAAACGCTTGCCAGTGACCAGGAAAAAAAGCTACAGAAACAAAAACCAAATGCAAATATCCAAAAATAGCAACTTGACAACAGAAAGTAAATTGCAATTAAGTAGCTGTACCTCGGAGGCAATCGGTTGAAGTGAGCGTCTAGCTGCTCACGAAATTCCGCCTCTTGGCCATGGCCGTTTTCTACTAAACGATTGTGAACATCGTTCCTCACATCATAGTTGCCGAAGCCACTCAAGGTGCGCGGTGGAGAGGAGCTCTCCCCTACACCTTCGACGAAGAAATCCATTGCAGTCTCCCTCCCTCCCTGTGGTTGTCGAAAGAGAGGGAAATAAAAGAGAAAAATGCGAGAAAGCAGGGCAAATAGCAGTAAGGGTCTTTGACCAAGGCTGGAAACGGGAAAAAGTTTCGAGATTTCAACGAAAATGGAGGGCAATTTCGTCCACCACGGCCGTACCGCCTAGTCCCAGAAGGTCAACATAGTACACAGACAGAGGAGAGGAGAGGAGAGGAGAGGAGAGGAGGCCAGGTCCGGAGCTACGAAGAAGTCCAAAAACGAAAAAAATCTTTTCTTTTCAGGAAATTGCAATGCTTGTTCTCATTTATTGGAAGCACGGTGGACTTTAACGTAATTATTGGGGTCTACGGCATAAAATGACAAAAAACAGTAAATGTAAATACTTTGACAAAAATACAGTGAACCTTTCAAAAAGAAAAACAACGGCAAAAACATGGAATCTCTTTTTTTTTAACGTGAAAACATGGAATCTCTTTTAGGCTCATGCGTTTTTCCGTATATTACATCCCGTGTGACATGCATAGACCGTTAACTTTCTGTTTAGTTGGGAATAAGAATGAAGAGAACAGAGGAGAAAAGATTTTCATCAGTCCACTTTAATAAAAAGAAGATGCGAGAATCGTTAGTGAGTAAAATTAATTAAAATTCTCCAACCATGCACAGTTCTCTGTTTTTAAATTGAAATTGTTAAAATTCCTGCTTTCCTCCCCCCTCCCTTCCAATTAAATAGGAGGTTATTGACTTGATAATTTGACACTGTTTAGAAAATACACAAAATAGATTACGTGGGTAATTATTATAAATAAATAATAAATAATTATAACAATGAAAGTATAAATAATTGTAGATGATAAGCCTAAGAATTGGAGATAATTACGAAAACTGCATCCTGTTCCCAGAACGGGATAGCAGGTGGAAGAAAAGGTCGTTAATGATGAAGATGGGTCCCGCAAAAGGCATGTAATTGTAAACTATCAAGAAGAAGATTCCCTATTTAAAATTAAAAATAAAAAAAAAAGGTTTAGATAAAGTAACCGGAAAGTGGGGGAGGAGGCTCATGACAGCCACTTGATCAAACAATTTCACCACGTGCCGCGTTGTCACACCACGTGGCGATCCCTCATGTCCTTGAAATGACGTGTCCTCTGGTGCTTCGCCAGCTGTCAACAGTCTATCATCCCAAATCCAGCCACCTGATACACTTGAAGCCATTTATTTATTTATACTATTCCTAAAGGCTCTTCCAGCTTCCACCTTTTCACCCATAGCAAAATGGTTTAAACGCTACTCATTAGATTCTATCCAATTTTCACTGTTCACACTACTCGAATTTTTCACAATCGAATATCTTCTATTTAGTATTTTCATTTATTTATATTGCCAGCATTATGATGCAGGTCTTTTTACAAGATGAACTTCTTATATCTAAAAATTGGGCTTCGAGTTCGAATGTATTTATGTGCTGGTGAAATATGAAGTGTGACAAAATAAAATGTTACTATCTTCACCTTCAATCCTTAATATAAAAGCTAATTTGACTTTCAATTTAATCTTAAATATAAAATTTTAGTCCATTTTATTTCTAATATTTATTTTCTTTTTTTTTAAATAGTCTTTGTAATAGTTATAATATACTATCTCCGGTCCTTAATATAAGACCCTATTTGATTTTTATTTTTTTTCTAAATATAAGATCCTAATCCACTTTGTCTCTCATATTTATACCTTTTTTCTCAAAGTAGTCATTCTAATAATGATAGTTCTAGTCAATACACTTGATTAGCAAAGATATTTGAGGAAAAACAACATTTATTTAGGACAAATAACTAACTCAACTTACTTCTTTAATCTCCTCAAATTAGTTAACTAGTTCTTATAATTAGGATCGGAGGTAGTATATGTTAAAAGTTCTATCCAATGATAGTTCTAGCTAATACACATATTGACAAGAGTACTCTGAAGAAGATAACATCTATTTGTTACAAATAATTAACTTAGGAAATTTTTCTAATTTACTCAAATGAGTCAACCAACTTTTATATTAAGGATAAAGAGTAATACTATCCCTAAAGTCTCTCCCAACTAATACCAATTCGAACACAAAGCATATTTTCACGCCTGCACTTCATATCAAATAAAATGTCTAATATTCACGATCAACATGCTAATGGGTGTTTTTACCCCTCTAAACACTTTATGCTGTCAGATGGCAATAAGAAGAAACATCCATTTTTTGCTCTTTAACCTTATTACAGACCTTTAACCACATCAAGAGATATCATTAATTAAAAAAGAGATAATGCAGGATTGCCACGTACAAATCCTGTAAATATACTTCATCAAATAGAAATGTGTTGCGGTATTAATTCTCTGCAGCAAAAGTTGCCGTCCTTAAATTAATGAATGCGGCAAAATTCGTAAATCCAAAGCACTACAGTTGAAGTGAAATCCAATTAGAGAGGAGAGCAAATGAACACCAACCACCTTAAGCTGCAAGCAGGAAACGCAAACAAATCATTCCAATCAGCCAGATCAACAACGTTTCGTATCACAATTCCGTAATCACACTTGAGCTTGATGATATCCACTTTGATATTAATCCGCACAAACGTAAAGGGTGTTTGGCAATCCTCAGAAGCACTATTCTGCAAAACGAGGCAAATTCTTTCATATATTTACTTTGTAAACCGTAAAAACACTTCTGAAACTATGATTTGGTTTCCATCTAAACACCTCTGTAATATTCTCTGTCAGCAAGAAATGCCTCAGAAAATAGTGCACGGACCTTGACTTGAAGTCGAGCTTGATCAAAAGGCAACCATGGCTGTTTCCCAGTTTCAGCCAAGTAACTCCAGGGTTGATTTCATCGTCATGATCTTCTTCTTGAGCCATTGATCACTCCACGTAAAACCCAACAACATTCACATTATTGGTAATTTCACGGCGTCGCATATGCTTTTTGCAGAGATAAAGGACTTGGCGAAGGTTGGGATCGGAGGCAGACAAAACCTGGGTTTCAACCTTGGAACCACCAGGCATCGTGTAGCCAGGTTGCTCTCCTGCCGAGTAACCCGTATCTCGTCACCGGCTGATATTACCAGCCTTACTTTTCATAATGCTGATGCATGAATTCATCTAATTCATTAGCACAAATAAATACGCACAATGAATTTGGACATGGATGCATATGAATCAAAAAAATTTTATTTTTTATTGCAAAAAAAAATATGTTTTTATTTGTACCGATCACATTTGAATATTGCTAGCTAGTCATGAATCGAGTGAAAGTTCAAATATTTAAATCAGATTGTGATGAATTAAATTTATTTTCATATTTTATAATTTTGAAGCTTTATTTCATGTGAAAGTTGAGACCGAAATGGTGCAGATTATCGATAAGATGAAAAAAGATCTTGACTCGGCAATTTTATGATCCGATTTTACGTATCGTTGCAATTGTGATCCATCATAAAAGCAACGTTAATATGAGCAAATACTAATCATATCACGAGAGATTATGTTGATTTTGTAAGTAAGGTATAATTATTAATTTACAACAGGGCAACCGTAATAATAATATTCTTTAAGAAAGGAAGAGGAGAAAGTAAGGGTAAAGTATGTATTATTTCCTATTTTAAATATAAAACTTTAATTTATCTTGTCTCCTAAATATATAATTTTTTTCTAAAGTATCCTTATTATACACAGTAAAAATAATAGAGGGTCTATAAAAGGATAGTTACAATACACATTATTAGAAAGTGTATTCTTAAAAAAGTTAATATATATTTATTATAAATAACTAATTTAATTAATATTTTTAATGTCCAAAATTAATTATCTAATTCTTTTTTTCAGTGAAAATTATCTATTATATTAAATATTAAAAATAATATTGAGTAATGGGGGTATCAGGGGATTCCCCCCCCCTCGTTACACGATGGGGGATCACATTATTCCTGACATCAAATGATCGAATCGTCAAACCCAATAAGCCAATCGTTTAAGGGTAAAATGTGAATATTTGACCAAAAAAAAAGGGGATAGTGTGAATAAATTAAACAATTTATTAGACCCTAAAGGTGAACTCGGAAAAGAAAATTTAATACTTTTTTCAAATTTTCTAAATTAAATTATAAAAAAAATTAACTGAAGTTTCCAGAAATTTATTTATAATAAATATGACTAAAAAGAGTATAACATATTTTATTTAAAAAAATAAATCGAAATATGAACTCTGAATTAAGCCCAATTCATGATTGGGCCTTCGGGCTTTGATTCAAAAAGGGCTCAAGTCATTTCCGGTCTACTGTTGGTTCTTCTTCGACCTTTCGTGAACTGAAATCAGCCATAATGGCCGTGGCTTGGCATCTGGCAAAATATATTCGAGGTAATTCCAGTCATTTAATTAATTCTATATTATTGAATAAAATATAATGAACAATTTATTTCCATCATTTGCATGACAAAAAAAAATTTGTTGACCCAGAAGGGAAGAAAAAACAGAAACGAGTTGTCGGTTCAAAGATTCTCGAAACTCGCATCTAACAAAAGAAAATTGCATAATAAATGTCTTTCAAAAAATCATGCCAGCCCCCATTTATCAATCTTCCACGCATGTATTTACTTTATTAGAAGAATGGGCACCCACGTTGCTGAGAAGTTTATAAAGATAAAAGAAATAGTTAATATAGTAGTAGTATTTAAAATGATTATGATATAGCCTCAATTCATTCTACTTTATTAGACACAAGGTGTGATACAGTTTTAGAGGATGAACTGGAATAAAATTTCATTCTTGAAAAAAAAAAATTAATTCATCTCGTCTATTCCGTACTCAGAATAAGGAGACACACGTTACCATTTGATCTTCAATTAGAAGAGAAATTTTAAAAGATGTCATATTTATTTATTCTATCAATAACCGAGTCAGATTTAGTGCATCACAAGGATTTGTCATAAGAGCATAAAATGATAAACATAGGGTGCTCATCTTTATTTAGACTACGCAAATCGATTTTAGATTGTTTAGATTGAATTTAAAATTTTTACATATTCTAATTAATTTTTTATTTTAATAGATACAAAATTTAAAGTAAATATAATCTTATAACTAACATTTCGTCAAGAACAATTTTATCATTGAAAAAAATTATATATTAAAAATTTTAAAT